GAGAGAGAGAGAGAGAGAGAGAGAGAAAGAGAGAGAAAGAGAGAGAGAGAGAGAGAGAGAGAGAGAGAAAGAGGAAGAAAGAGAGAGAGAAAACGTGTATGTGTTGGTGTGCCTGGGTGTAATATAAAGCCACATATATGACTTTTTTTGTTGGAAAAGAGAACATATTATAGTCTATGTGTTTATGTGTGTGTATGTGTATGTTTGTATGTGTCTGTGTGTGTCTTTGTGTGTGTTTGTTTATTTGAGTGTTGTGAAGCTGCCCGGAACACGCATCAACTTGAATCTGAAACGTGAGGAGCCCGCCTTCTAAATGATTTAAATAGTGTAGATAGGGTGGTTTTGGTGAGAACGTAAACAATAACAACAACGGGAAAAATAACAATATGAATAATAATAACAATAAAAATAGCAATAACAATTACAATAACAGCAACAGTAAAAATAAGAATATAAATGACAATAGCAATAGCAATAGTCATAACAATAACAATAGCAATAACAATAGCAACAATAAAAATAATAGAAATAGCAACAATAATAGTAATAACAATAACTATTACAATAACAATAACAATAAGAGAAATACAATAGCAATAACTTTCCTCTACCCTCTCAACACCTGTGATCAGATGGTATCCTGGGCGGGGAATCTTGACCTGAAAAGACGCCATCACGACTTCCCTTCTGACGTTTTCACCATGTTGGAGACAATTGGAGCTCAGGTCACAGTTGGTGAGCTCACTGTTTGGGTCTCTGATTCTGTTCTGTCGAGACTTGATTGTATCATCTTTTTTCATCTAACAAACTCGAAACAGCCTTCATTTTTGTCATTCAAATTTCTTTAGTAAGCTGTTAGACACAATCTACTTGTTTTGTGTACGGACGAGTACAGTACTGTTGTTAAAACCAACAAATTTACTTTTACAACCTGGGTCTGCAATGCTCCATGCGGCTTTGTACTGACTAGACTATGGCCAAGCGTAGTAGTGATTTAAGAAGCTCAATTAGCCTGATTTTTTATCTTCCAAATAAGTGTAATAAGTTGTTATGTCGGTCGTTACCCTGTCATTGTTAGGCATAATCTACTTATTTTATATTCGTCTTGTAACAACGGGCAAATAATTTTGTTTTACTATATGGGTCTGCATTTTGTCATGCAACTTTGTACTGTCTAGACTGTAGCAAAGCCTAGTCGTGATTTCAGAAGCTGGAAACAGCCTTTCAGACTCTAGCCTAGCCTAGCTGTGACCTAAGAAACTCGAAACAGACTTGTCGCTCGTCTTCCAAATTACTTTAGTAGACGGTTTTGTCGGTCGTTACCCTCTGTTTTGTCTTGGTAAGTTTTACTGCTAAAGTTATAGGAGCGCCTGGAATATAAATTGCTTTTTTCTTTTGCTAGGAAACAGTGTTTTCCTGCGTCGGGAGTGTTCTGGTGTGTGAGTTACACTTCATCAGCGAGATAGTTACTGTTTATCGAGACAGTAATCTGTGTGAAGCGTGCAAGAGTTGAACATATGTCACCTTTTAGTTAATTTCAGTTGTGGTGTGCGTTGAAAAGTGTTTAACACCTCTTCTGTCCGATCTAGGCATACTGTGGTACAGTGTATAGTGGTAAAATGGGGGTAGTTGCCCAATATCAGTCTTGGAAAATAAGCAATGTTATTCAGAAACTTTGGCTGTCAAACATTGAATTTTTTTGTCTTCTTAAAATGGCAGCAAATGACATGACATATTTCCTTAGCACCTTTCATGTATATTGAGGCCAAATTAGATTTATATTTTATGTTTAGACAAATAAATTCCCAAAGACGTTCTGTTTTTCCGTCTGTGGGCATAGGGTGAACACATCGTACTCCCTGACCCAGTGCCAGGAATAGGAAGTGTGAGCACTTGTGGAAACAGTAATTTATTCTTGTCAGGACCGCTTTACGTCGATGGTTTTCTTTCGTTCCGCCAAACAAACAAATACATGTACACAAGCACGTTCTGTCTTTCAGCCGACGGGAATGGTGTGAGCACACAGTACTCCCTGACCCAATTCCTGCAAGTGGACATGAAGGGTAAGGTCATCGTTAGCCTTCGTCTCCCCCGCTACCAAACTAATGACGTCATTGTGCGCACATACAGGACCTCCCCCAGACTTCAGGTGATTTGTGTCTTTGGTTTACTTTTTCATACTGTATGTTTGTTCGTGTGGGGTTTTTTTCGTTCTATTAAGAAAGTGCTTTAAATGATGTCTGTTGTGTAGGGACGAGGTGCTTATCCTTCGCACGCAGAAGACCCGAGTTCGATTTCCGTAGGGCAAAATTTTTATCGAGTGTCCTTTTTCACAAAAGATAATCGTTTTGGGGATCATGCTTCCAAAAAAACAAAAATGAACAGGAAACATGTCACAGAAAACACAAACATTGCGTCTGTTTGACAATCTGACCGAGACTTCAGTTGTAACAAAAAAGCTGAAAAGCTTGATAGACCATCATGGAAAAGGAGACCTTTTGAAAACACTTGAGAAAATCCCTCATCCTTTATTGTTATAACTCATCTTACTTGTCTAGAATGGGTTTTTACTATTCGGGAAAAGCATAATCCACATGAATTTCTGGTGTATTCTGCTCAGTCTAAAATATTTCTTTCAAATAATTCCATCGTCCTAACTCGTTCACGAAACACGACAGTCATTGTGCCAACTCACCGTGGACTACAAATCACCAACAGCAGCAATAGTAACGACAACAACAATAATAACAGCAATGTTAACGCGAGCATCAACAGCAATAGCATTGCCGCGACCACCAACAAAATAACACCCCCACCTAAAACAAAAACAACAACAACAACAACAACAACAGCAGCAGCAGCAGTAGCAGCATCAACAACTACAACAAAATAACACCACCACTAAAAAAACAAAACAACAACAGCAACAACCACAGCAACATTAAAAACAACACAGCAACAATAACAATAACAATAACAAAAGAACAACAACAAATACAAAAACAACAAAATAACACCCCACTAAAACAACCACAACAACAATAACAGCAACAATGACAACCTCCTTCACCTACACAGTATACTGCTGCCACATGCACATTTCCCTAACACATGGGGGCTCTCTTAGTCTAGAGATTACAGTGTTCACCTCCATTTCAATAGGCCCTAGGTTCGAAACCTGACAGCGACGGAAAATTTTCTTTTCAAAATGTTTCTCCTTTCACCTCTTTTCCTGTTCTCTAATCATTTTCGTTCTGTCTTTTGCTTTCGTTTCCACTTTCTGCCCCCACTCCCACCCCCACCAACACCCCCACCCCTACCCCTTTGCCACTTCCTTTGGCAGTGCTCCTGGGTCTTTCTGCAGCCTTTCTACTCCTTCACCTTTGTTCCTTTTTACTGCTGTCTTTCAGTCACACCCCTGATTTCATGGTAGGTAAGGTCTAACAACTAGCCTTCTCGAATAAGGTGAAAAGTCTCGGAGATCCCGTATGCAAGTTGCCCAGGTTAAAGATTCCTTGGCGGTCCAAAATGGACAAGAGTAGGCTTCGGTCGCCACCTGGGCAAAATTCAAAATTAACTCCTACCAAACAAAACAATGTTTAATGTGTCCCGTCGCTCATATGACCGTATGTACTTGCACTCGCCATAAAACACGTACCGATACAAACAAAATTTAACACGTACTTTTCTACAGCTCTGTGCCAGTTACATAGTGAGTGGGTTCAACTTCCGGGTCAACAGTGCTGACAACTTCCGGATCATAGGCAAGCCAACGATTGTCATTCTTGGCATCAGCGGATCACTGGTGCGTATCACGCGACCTTTGTAGTTAGGAAAAGAGGAATGGGGTAAGAAGGGGGTGTGAAGGAATGTAAAGGAAGAAGGTCAACTTTCTTGACCCATCCAGCCCTTTTCTCTGTCTCTCTCTCTCTTTCTCTCTCCTTCCCTTTCTCTCTCTCTCTCTCTCTCTCTCTCTCTCTCTCTCTCTCTCTCTCTCTCTCTCTCTCTCTTATACGGACATGCACACACGAGCACATTTACTCTTTTTCTCTCCCTCTCCCCCTCTCTTTCTCTCTATGTTAAAAGAACATGTTTCTGTAATATAATGGCAAAGCTCATGTGCAGAGTGAGGCATTTGAGTGTGTGTGTGTATATGTGTGTGTTCGTGTGTGTTTCTGTGTGTGTGTGTGTGTGTGTGTGTATGCGTGTGTGTGTGTGTGTGTGTGTGTGTGTGTGTGTGTGTGTGTGTGTGGTAGAGGGGGTGAGGAGATAAACAGATCGAATACCTCTGTCTTTTACTTTGCGACATATCCCAACAAAATGGATATAAATGTAAATGTTCAGTTGAACCTGCTGAAACGTATCCAAGACAGCCCATTGTACAAGTAACAATTTCCCACTTTCCCTATGCGCTTTTATTATCATTTTTTAAATTATTATTATCATTATTATTATTATTATTATTATTATTATTATTATTATTATTATTATTATTATTATTATTATTATTATTATTGTAATAATCATTATTTTTGTCATCTATTACTATTATTATTATTATTATTATTATTGTTGTTGTTGTTGTTCGAAAATATTAAATGGACACTGTCCTAGACGACAACATGCTTAGACAACCACTTTTCTCCTTTACAAAGGGTAGCCATAGTGTACGGGTTTGACTGTAGGTTATTTCTTCTTTGACCCCTCGAAGGTTCACGCTGTACAAACCGAGGGTTACCTGACAGGCAAACAGCTCGGAGATCCAGCAGTCCTAAAAGGTGAGAATGTGTCCTCAGATGTAGATCGGAAAAATCACCCCTTCCCCTTTTTTTCCGAAAAATTTCAACAACAACCCCCCCCAACCACAAAAACAACTTAAAAACAATACTTACAAATAGACACGTTTCATCACCATTGCCTTTCTTATACTGGATCAGGGTATATGCCACGCAGGGCTAGTCTCTTAATGTTTTTAATGTCTTCCCATTTTTATGAATATGTTTACTTTTTGTAAATTGATAGGTCAGTGTTTGGCGGGTGCTTTGATGTGGTCTGCACCTTCTTCCTATCAAATATCTATCGTCCTGATCTCTCCTTCTCCTCCTTTTTGGTGTTTGTTACTCTCTTGTAACATCTCTAATCTTGGGCAATTTTATGTCCTTACTGTGTTGCAAGTGCAGTGAAACATATTGCAACAAAACAGTAAATTCATGATTGACTTTTGGTTTGCTTCGTTTTCATTTTAAAAAGAGCATTGTGTACCCCAGATCCAAACTATTTTCATAGACGGTGTATATTTTGTGAGCCTAAAGTGAAAACATTTTATGATTCTGTGTATTTGCGTAATCTGCTTCTTAGCTTTTTATTATGATGCCCCCCCTCCCGCCTCCCCTCATAAGAAAACCCAAAACATCCAAACAGAATAAATATAAACAACTACATCCCTTCCCATCCCAAATAAAAAATTAATTGAAAAAAATAATAAATAAGTAAATTAAATGAAATAGAATAAAATAAAATAGAATAAAATAGAATAAAATAAGATAAAAAAGATACAGATAATAAAAGATAATAAAAGACTAAATAGAATACCATAAAAGATAAACAAAAGCAATAAATACAAGAAGAAAACAACCCCCCCCCCCCCCCCCCCCATCCCCTTTTTTCCAAAATAGTAGCAAACAAACAAAATACAACAGTCACACAAACAAACAAACAACCAAACAAACAAGAAAATGCGATGAGATTAAAGAAAAAACCACTTACATCTGACCTCTCCAGGTGCGTTGAGCACTCTGTCGGCGGAGCTCATCCCAGACTCTGGCACAACACTGGCCAGTCCTACATACCGGAAGTCGCTGGCTATTGGTCAATTCTACAAGGTGAGGGAGATAGAACTTGTCAGTATGTTAGTGTTTCAGCGGCAATGTTTAAAAATATTCAGTTGCATTGTATGCATACCAGGAAGTTGAAATTGCTTTAGAATGGTATCAGGTCTGTAGTAAAGGCGTTAAAGGGTCAACTTGTAACTATATCATCATATACATGTTTTAGGGCCTGCTGAAATGGTAGCTTGTACTATATTCTTCCAAGGGAGTTGGGATTATTTTAGAATGCTTTCAGGTCCGTTTGGATAAGGATATAGATTGTAAAGTGCTTAGAGCTTGCTGTTCAGCTGGAATTGACGCTATATGCTATCTATCTATTGTTATTTTTGGAAGAACTACTTTAGCCAATCATAGTTGTGATTTAATTTTACCAACTTTTCCACGTTACAATTGTTGTCCAGACTTACTTCCTGGGAAAAAATAGCACTTATTATTATGACTCGTCGTAAGTAACAACTCAAAGGTTGCAGGCAGCTCTATACTGTCCCCCGTCCTCCATCACCCACAACAACCACCCTTAACAACCACCCTTCTCCCCAAATTAGTATTTCCTTTCACGTTACAATTGTCGAGATTTACTTGGAAGGAATATACAGCAACTAGATCTATAATTTTGACTTTTTTAAAGTAACAACTGAACAACTGCCGTTCTATTTTTTGCCCTCCCTTCCCTCACCCTACAACCTAAATCAGCATATTAGTATCCTTTTTACCGTACCAACTCAGATTGACTTCCTTTAAGATTGTAGCAATAATCGTTTTCACTGTATCCCCCCTCCCCGAACTGCCGAACTTAGTACGTCCTTGAGGTTTGCAAGACCAAGGTCAACCCACGCTACGTCAGCGGAGGTCAGCCATTGGACCGTCCAGTGATGACGTCATCACAAACTTACGGCACTCTCGACCCGATGGAATACCCAGTGTCAAAACCCATGCACAAACTGACGGCGGACTATCTGGTGAGTGGGGCGGGCTGGTGATAGATAGACAGACAGACAGCCAAACAGACAGACAGACAGATAGATAGATAGATAGATAGATAGATAGATAGATAGATAGATAGATAGATAGTCATGCAAGAGAGAAAAAGTGAAGAACGAACTATATCTTGAAAGACAGAACGAGAGAAACAGAGAGACAAAAATTTGATAAAGACACGCACAGAGAACGAGTCACGGAGAGAGGAAAGGAGAGAGAGAGAGAGAGAGAGAGAGAGAGAGAGAGAGAGAGAGAGAGAGAGAGAGAGAGATGGGGATGAAGAAGGAGGGAAGTGATCTGTACTCGGAACTCAGACTAAACTAAATGAGATATACAAACTGAAAACAAAAGAACCAAATTGTTCCCTCTTGACTCGGGTTCGAGGATCCTGTGTCGGAATCTCCGCAACTTCATGTTTGACTTAGACTAGAAAAGAATAACTGGGATAAATGGTCAGGGAGTAGAATATGACTACTTTATTTTATTAATCAGTCTGTAACCTGGTTGTCAACTTGCTACCTACATCCCTTACGAAATCCTCAATATATCTGCGACTGTACTGTCTACCTACTAAGGTCCTCTCTTCACTTGTCTTGGGCCGCTAGAATAGGCTAATACTAATATGGTCACCTTAGCAGAGACAGTGCCCACTCTTTCGGAACTTCACGGTGACATTAAAGTTGGTTCCAGTAGGGAACGGGACAGCGGGTGCCCACATCCTTCGAGACTCATCAGAGCAGAGGAAGATAGGACAAACGCTAAAATTATTTTTTAAACTAACAAACAACTAGCAGAAATATGTCTTCTTAATAATTATATACATAAACACCCCACATCATCCTTTATCACCACCACCACCATCACCATCATCGTAATTTCTAAAATGGTCATTGCTCTCAGATCCTTCACAAACATCTTTAATTATCTAGAACACATGTATGTAACAGTAACATGTTATAACAATTATGTAGGTATTACATTTTTGGGCACTGTCGTGCGCACATTTTTCTACTAATCAGATGGCGTCAATACCATAGAAATGGGCAAGGGACAAAAAAAAAGTAAGAAAACAGCAAAAAACAAAACAAAAAACCCCAAAAGAACCAGGAACGCTCTTAGATTGTTTTCCAATCCTGCTACCTCCCACCACTAGACAACTGGAGAAGTCCGCTTTATGGACGATCTGCCCATCATCCCTGGTGAGCTCTTTGTGGCTGTGGTTCTGAGCACCCAGGGAAATTGCAAGATCAAGAGCATCAACCCTTCTCAAGCTTTGGTGAGTAACACATAATTTTTTGCAGTGTGGGCATATGCCTCAATCTCTTAATTTCATGTGACATGGATAAATATTTCTTGTGTTTTAAAAATAAACCTGAAAAATTAATGATTCTACTTGTGATTTAAAGTATAGTTTCTTTATAGAGGTACCAGCTCGCTACCTCAGAATTACAAAGTTGTATTTGACATTTTTAGTCCTTTTGAGTTACTACGACCTTGAGGTCAGAAATCAAATTCTCTATCTGCTCTATCAAAATGGTAAGACTATTCTGAGTCGTTATCAAGATATTGCACCTGAAAAAGGATGTAATATTGGGAAACTCAAAAGTTGTTACGTCAAACTTCTCAAAACTAGGTCCTGAGCAGATAGAATTTTGTAATTTCGAGGTAGCGATCTATTTATCGGTGCACCTTTAGCTCAATTTAGTATCATGCCGGACCACAAAACATATGACTCTGGTTTAAATCCCAAACGGAGAGTTCTAAAGCTGGGTTGCTTTAGGACATTTTAAGGCTCTCCATCGATAATATTGGCTCGGCCCAGTAAAAGATGAACGTTAAATTCTGTGGCCTTGTCTTTTTAATAACGTTACATTACTGAAAAGGGAGTTATAATCATACAATTTCGTGATGTTCTGAACGTGGAGATATGTTAAAGCTCTAATAAGTTTTAAATAGAGTTCAATATCTTTTTTTTCCTACAAGAATTACATTATGAGTGTGCTTTGAGCCCAGCTGTCAAATAAAACATCAGAACAAACAAAAATCTCACCCCCCAATAAAATAAAGAAATAAAAACAAAAACAAAAACAAAAAACAAAATAACAAACAATTGAGGAGGTCGGCGGCAAAAGTATCTTACGTACTAATTGAGTGGAGTTTTTTTTATTTTTTAGATAGTGTTGATTTCTAAATTATGGCATAATCTATGGGCTCAACATGCCAACGTTTATGTGAATGAAATTACAGACCTGAAAATGTTAATATATTTATTATTAATCCTTAACATGGATACATCAGAACTTTCGAGCTACCAAACAAAGAAATGAAAGGCGAGCCATTGTCGCATCGATGTCAGTCGCAGATCTGGCTTTTGGTGATGATAATGATGAATATAGATGCCAAGGATGACTCATTTCCCCAAAGCCTTTACTTAGCAAGCGTGGTGTTCCATTTACTGAGGTAATAATAATAAGAAAAAAATTAATTAATTAATTAATTAATTGATAGAGTTTGCAAAGCGCAAATTCCCGCTCAACAGCAAACTCTACGCTTTTTACGTTCTAGATCTATATTGTTACCCAGGAAGACCTGATAGAATTCTGAAACAATTCCATCTCCCTTGGAAGCATAAAGTAACATGCAGCCATTTGGCAGGCGCCAAAAGACTTATTATAAACTTACAATTTGACCCTTTAACGCCGTCATTGCAGGCCACGCCTGGTGTGGTCAAGTTCATAGAAGCTTCGGACATCCCTGGCAAGAACAACTGGAGACCCGAGGGCTGGTACGGCCCCACAAACCCACTAGAGGTGAGACTGTCGACATGATGATGATGATGATGATGATGATGATGATGATGATGATGATGATGATGATGATGATGATGATGATGATGATGATGATGATGATGATGATGACCTGTCTTATTTTTCGATCTAATTTCTGGATCTAATTTCTCGGTTTAATTTCTGGGTTCTAATTAAAATTTCTGGGTCTAACTTTAAGTACGAAACCGTGTATAGGGGCAATTTATTTATCGTTCTACCAGTGTGCGTGCCCGAGCGTGTGTGTTCATGTGTTTATGTGTATGTGTGTGTGTGTGTGTGTGTGTGTGTGTGTGTGTGTGACTGTGTGTGTGTGTGTGTGAGTGAGTGAGCGAGAGGGAGAGAAAAAGGAGGGATGTGAGAGAGAGAAGGAGACAGAAGAGAGGAGAGAGAGAGAGATAGAGAGAGAGAGAGAGAGAGAGAGAGAGAGAGAGAGAGAGAGAGAGAGAGAGAGACTATGACGTATTACTGTTTATTATAAAATCCAACTATTAGAAATCTTTACCTATGTTTTGGTCCTCTAAACTGCTAATAGGGTCAATTTTGGAATATGTTACGTTTGACTTTTATTCGATTTATTAGACAACTTTCTCCTCGAAATAATTTCTCTGAACTTTTTTTTAGATTCCATTTCAAATTGATATAACCTTTTTGCAGGGGCGAGAGCATTACATTTTGACCTCATTTAGACACTGTGAATTAAGAATTCAGAAATGACTTGGTTTCTAAACTTGTAAAGTGCATATTTAATGACTCATAAGTTTTAAAAATTCTATTATCTGAACTTTTAAACTGAAGTTCTCGGCTTACAGTAATTGGGAAAATCTACTTCAACGATAAGTTCTTTCTTTTCCATTTCCTAGCTTCTGGCCAGCAGCCAAATTGGTTTTGCAGGACAACCTATTGGACTCGTGGTCGCTGGTAAGACGTATTTAAAGATGTAAACAGAAGCCAGAAAACAGTAATCATAAGAGGCTCTAAAGGATATAGTTCTTTCTTTGCCTGTTTGCTGTCGGTTTTGTTCTTTTGTTTTTTCGTTTTATTTGTTTTTTTGTTTGGGTTTTTGTTCTTTTAGTTTTAGTTGTTGGTTTTTTTTATGTTGTTGGTTTTGTCCTTCTATCAACACAACTGAGATCATACAGGAGGCGGACTTCGACTCAATTACTATTACCTTTACACTTTCATTTACTAACTCACAATTATTCATTGTAGTCACTAGCAGATGAACCCGTTCTACGAACGGGAATTAGAAAACTACCCTAAACCAGTAACAAAAAAATGTTGGAAGAAGCATGAGGTAAAACACAGAAGACTAAAAATTAAAGGAGGAAAACAGATCTGACTCACCTCACCCATTAGACGGAAACTTCAGTGTAGATAAAATTGTCTGCATGCCCAGTATGTATTCCATTTTCTTTTAGTATGTAGAGGCGCACATTGTCCTTGGAACCAAATACTTTTGACTTACTTTACTTAAGATATTAGATCTTTTTATAAAATGATCTTCCGATCCTCGTGGTCAAGTGGTTGAGATATTAGATCTAGATCTAGATCCATCATCTAAGAATAAGATCTGCCGAAGCAAAATATGATCCAGACTTACTTTACTTAAGATATTATCTGATCGTTTTACCATCCTGGTAGAGGTAGACCTAACCTTACCTTACCATACCAAGTGGCAATAATAAGCCAAGCGCCACTGGACGGAAGCAGTCGGAACAAAGATGAAGTGTTCTTTTCGGTTTCTTTGAATTAATAATTTTTCAGTTTTTGGCAGGTTTAAAAAACAAAAAACAACAACCTATTCCATGCAAATCCTCCCCCAAATTTACATCTGAATAGAAAATTTCACTATTGTCTGTAGTGCAGTTTAGGAGTCTATAAGATCCAAATGTTTTGGGCCACACTCCATTATAAAATGTTAATGATTAAAGACTTCTCACACAAACGCTTTATGTCACGAAGGGATGGAATCACGGGCTTGTCAGTTTTTAGGCATATGAAGTTATTGGCATAATCTTAAAGCTTGTCCATTTGTCTATCATTGGATGAAAAAACTACACATTTGACTTGAATAAAAGTGGGGATATTTGCAATTTAAGAAGGTGGGGATCACATGGTTTCTGCAGTAAAACTAGCAAAAAAATGACCGCAAAAGTTTGGTCATTTCCAAAGCTTTAGAGTCCTTGGCAACTGAAAATATACTAAGAAAAATCAACACAAAAATCTGTATGTTTGAATAAAGATTAAAGGTGTTGAGCTAAAAAAGATGTCAATCTGTTGGAAAAAAATGCTGGTGTCTTCAATCTCATTTTTTTTTTTTTTTTGTGGACAAATTTCTGATTTCTCCACGATGCCTCACAAGTGTTACTTCTTAAACTAACATTCATTGCATTTGACGTCTAAAACTCACTCATTGATTTTATTCACTACTACTGCTCACAAATTCGTTGCAATTACAAACCACTTCTAGCACATATCATTGTATCTACGAACTACAATTCACACACCCTTTGTTATTGTTAACTATTTCTCCCATGCACATAAATAATTTATTGCATCTATTGATTTTTACTCACATATTGTATTTAGTAACTACAATTCGCACACACCTTCAGTGTAATTACTAACTTCATGTCACTACTCAACAAACATAGTTACTGTATTTAGTAACTACAACTCGTACACACATTCAGGGGATATTACTAACTATTACACGCAAACATTCATTGCATTTAGTAACTAGCTGCTACTGATACATTCATTGTAATTATTTACTACAACTCACACATTCATTTTAGTTACTAAAAACTGCTCACATACATACATTCAGTACGGCTACTAACTGCAGCTCACACACACTTTAATTGGATTTGCTAAGTACCGCTCACACACATCTCCTCCTTCCCCCCTCCCCTGTCCCTTCCCCCAGAGAGCCAGACCATTGCTGAGAACGCCAGGTTCGGAGTCCAGATAGAGTACACCGACCTCCAACCGGTCGTCACAGACTTACGAGAAGCCGTTCAGAAGAAACAATTCTTCAAAGCAAACACCTACACCAAGGGAGATGTGAAAGGTAAAATAAAACACACAAAACAATAACATTATACTTATCTCTTTGTTTTATGTTTTAGTAAGAGTTTTACGGCATTTGCAACGCAATAAGGTCATATAAATGCCGAAGATGAGAGGTGATACAAAGTATTAACTAAAACAGAAAATAAGGAGGAGAGACAAGCGCAATAATATGTGTTTGATAGGAAAGAAGGAGCAGACCACACCTGAGAAACCGTCAACCACCCACTATACTTCTCTCTTTGACTATCGATGAATGCCTCATCGTCGTTCCCACAGGAGGGCCAAGGGCACAGATAGCTCAGTTTGTGTCATGGTGGCTGACGGTGAGAACGGTTTTAGTTCAAATCACCAACAGGACTTTCTTAAACATCTACACCTAGCCTTCTCTGACAGGGGCGAAAAATCTCGGAGGGCCTGTTTGGCTGTTTTGTTTTTCCTAATGCTAAATGGCCGTAATTGTGCCCACAAGATACCTTTTACTCAAGCAAACAAGCAAGTAAACAAACAAA